TGGAGTGTGCTAGGTATTATGTGAGGTGCGCGAAGGTGCTCTGAATTATTATTTTCCACAGAATATTATTTTTTAAATTCTTTTTAGAAGAACAATTGAAGTTAATGCCTATTATGTGAATTGTATGGGATTGAATAAATTTTATTCGAACTCACATGTTAGTTGAATGAAGTAGATATATTTGGCAATGTATCTAAAATGACAAGTGAAAAATGTAAATAATCACATACTTTTTTAATGAAAAAAGAGTAAAATTGAGATAAATTGACGGTAAATTAAATGTCTAACCGTCCGAAATTGAAACACTACAATTAGTAATGTTTTAAATAAAAATTAATATTTTATTAAATCTATTTTACATTTTCATTCAAACAAGGCAACATGTGAAGTATTTATCTAAATTAATTGATGTTTTGGCTTAAAATGTGTTGAACTATACAAGCCAAGTCTTCTCTAAGAAATAACTAATGTATAAGTTGTTTACACCTAATTGAGTATAATGGTAATAGTAATGATAATGATAATGAAGTACTAATATTAATGGTAGTACTAGTTCTAGTGTCGGTGTAAGTGTCAGTGTCAATGCCAATACCGTACCAGTATGAGTATCAGTACCAGTAGCAGTGTCAGTGTTAATGCCAATGTCAATGTCAATGCCAATACCAATACCAACTATTATAGTAATAGTAATAGTAATAATAGCAATAGTAATCATAATAATTGTAATTATTAAAATAGTTTTAATTGAATCATATTTTATTATTTTCATTGTTGTCACGTTTATTATCTTTGTTGCATTACTAATTATTCTTTTAATGTGTTGTTATTGTAATTAATTAGCACCATATAGTAATTAGTTATATTAGGATTTTTTTCACTACCACCCATTGTCCCACATTAGACCGGACTAGATCAGTACAGAACAAGCTATATAGAATTGATGTAATAATTTATCATGTACTTTTAGATAATATCTATTATATTTAATCTTATTTACCAGTTTTTGTTGTTGAAAAAATAATACATGTTCAATTATTGGATCGATCAATATTATTTTTCAGATAAATTAGTTTTGAACACCCACAGTTTGATGGCAAAATCTGCCACTACTTAAAGAGCAATAGTAATTTATCATCCTTTTAAATATAGAATGTAATACGATGTACTGTTTAACAAGAGTTGCCTCTAGACTTCGGCAATATTTTAAATCTAAGAGCATCTCCAATGGTAAAATGTGCACGGTGCACACGTGGCATGAGAGATAGCCACATAAATATTAGTATATAAATTCTTTCTCTCCTTATTTGAATGATTTTATATAGTTTTGGTAAGTTCTTCTCCACAATGTCAAGGAGACCGTTTAGATGTTGACATTGTTGTTGACATTGCAGGGAAAAACTTACCAAAATTGTATAAAATCATTCAAATAAGGAGATATATAATTTATTTACCAATATTTATGTGGTCATCACTTGTGCCACATGTGCACCGTGCACATTGTAGCATTGGAGATGCTCTAAAACAACTAAGAGCATCTCCAATGCTATAACGTGCACGGTGCACACGTGGCATGAGAGATGACCACATAAATATTAGTACATACATTCTTTCTCTCCTTATTTAAATGATTTTATATAGTTTTGGTAAGTTTTTCTCTACAATGTCAAGGAGACCGTCTAAATGTTGACATTGTTGTTGACATTGCAGGGAAAAACTTACCAAAATTGTATAAAATCATTTAAATAAGGAGAGAGATAATTTATTTGCTAATATTTATGTGGCTATGACTCATGCCACATGTGCACCGTGCACATTAGAGCATTGGAGATGCTCTAAGTTGAGATGGATGAAGTAGATGTCAAACTGTTTGACATGAATATGATATACCTTAAATTTCCTAATTATTTGCTAAAACCTTGTAATTTAATAGCATCACTATAGCACTGAGAGATGAGATCACATTTTCAAATCTCACTCCAATCAAAGGAGTTCGTATACCGTGGTATCACCCCACGTTGAGCACCGTGCTCCCACACAGGGCCGGCCCAGGGCATGGCTGCCCAGTGCGACCGCACAGGGCCCGGATTTTTGAAGGGCCCAAAAAAAATTAGTATTACGCCCCAACCCAAAATTCCCCTGCGTAAATCTAAATATGCTTGAAGAATGTCCCTTTTTAAATAAATTGTAAGTTATTAATGACTATTTTTATCATTACATTTATTCGCAAGTTGTATTTTAAGACAATTTGTTTGTGTTGCAACTTGAAAAAAGGCCCAAATTTTATTGTCGCACAGGGTCTACATTTCTTCGGGACCGGCCCTGCTCCCACACCCAAAATGACGTATTTTTGCACAATTTAAAAAAAATTGCATGAACAGTAACGCGTGTACAGTCACTGTTTTTTTGTCCCAGTAGTATGAATGATGTAACTCACGTGTAAAGATATGTAACTCACGTTATTGATCAATGTAACTCAAGTCCATTCGAAATGTAACTTATCAAATACATACTATAAGAAATAAAACATTGATTTCAATGCAAACAATGAAAAAAGAGAGTCTAACTACACAATTACTTTACGTAAATCGTGAATATGTTTTGTTTTTAATATCATGACCATCACAAGGATTTTTTTTAAAAAAAAACTTTTTTTGTTTCAATAGCATGAGGTTATTTTTTGATGTAACTCATGTTATTACAAATGTAACTCGCGTTGATGACAAATGTAACTTGCGATTCAGAAGATGTAACTCGCTTAAAATATAATGTAACTCAAGCATAAAAATATGTAACTCGCATATGAGAAGGTGTTGAATGTTGAAAATGTATATCGCATTAATTGAAATGTAAATCATGTTTATGAATATGTAATTAAAAATGAATCTACATGGCCTATCCTTGATTAATACATGGTTAAGCCTATGTCGTGTTTTTCCTTCCTCTTTGCTTTGCTTCTCCTCAAATACTCCCCGTATATGTATGAATTTAATTGGTAATTGGTGGGATTTTATTCGCTGGGTGAGCAAATAGGAGCCAGAGAGCTTTCTGGCGACACAAAGCTAAGGAGCCAGTCTTCTATGTCGGTGAAGCACAAGAGCACACATGCTACGAACAGGGGTCGCTGGTGTGAATCTCAATCCGTCAAAGAAAGTTGCCAGCGACGGCGATCGTGCGATTGGAACTCTTTCCTTCTCGAGTCGAGTTGCTAATTGCTATGCTTTTTAATTAACCAAACTATGTCGTTTTGGGATCGACACACCATGGACATGGTGGGCCAATCCCACGGTATAATTTGTGAATCAAAGATGTTTAATAGCATTACTATAACATCTCATTTTCAAAACTCACCTCAATAAAAAATGTTAGTCTTTACTCAAAGATGTAGATCTTCTAATACTCCATATAATAGGATAGAAAGCACAACAAATCCAATGATCAAATATGGAAATGATTACCCTAACATAAGCAACTCCTATTATTGACCATCAGTCAAATTTTACAAAGGTCTTCTTACTTCAAAACAAATAGAAAAATCTACTATCAACTAAATCGAGAATAATATTGTAAAATTAAACAATAAATAATAAGGTAAACCAATAGAAAGATGAAAAACCGAGTGTAAATCATCTTCATATAGCTCATTCATGAGATTCTTTTTTATTCAAAGAACAATCAATGATCCAATCAAATTAAGTGTCATGAAAAATAATGTATTTTGATGGAAGGCTAAAGGGTTAAATAGGCCCTCAAACTAACTTAAAATGTGTAATTCGCCCCTTATATAGGAGGCTCTGTCCGGCCGTCGCCAATTAGGCGGTTCCCGGTGGAAGTTTTTGATGAAAATTTTTGAGCATCTTCTTCATTAAGTCTAGTTTACTCATACTAACTTTTCAGCTAAAAGTTATCAAACAACAATTCGATATAGATATAAAGTCCATGAAAAACTCAAAGTATGTTCGTGCGATCATGCCCGATAACTTGAGAAGACTAACAAAAGCAATAACTAGGAAAATTGATACATAAACACACCTAGAAAAATTAGGAACTTCCAAGGAAAATCATTGCCCAATGCCGCGGCTAGCCTTTTTAATTTTCTTTAATCATCAAATCCAACAAATCCATTAAATCAAAATAACGTTCGTCACTCATAATACAATCAAAGAAAAAGAAGTAAACAAAGCGATAAAGTCTTATGTCTGCCGTCCGGGCTTAGAATATATCACATCTGTAGTAGCAATAATATTCGTTGATCCTGTAATGGACTTAACTGAGTCAATGACTAACAAATCAGACTTCTCATCACCTGACTTAAAATCTAGAATCTCTCTGCCAGGAAATAAGAACACGTCCAAGACAACATGCAATTCGAAAGAAAAACACAAACAGAATAAAACGGAATTAAAATAGAGTTCACTCATCTTCTTCCAAACCCTAGACTTACTTGCACTAAATGACGGCGGCTCAGGAGGAAGGAGGGGGGGGTGCTCATCGCTCATCCGCCTCAATAGTCATGCTTTTGTATTAAATGATGATATCCTCCTTTGACATTCCTTGATGTTGAATCGAAAACATACTCCGTCACAGTTTATCCACCTTTTCTTTGTCAACACTCGACCTTCGATCAGAAACAACAGCAGATGTCGAGCCCTAGCCGCCAAAGAGCTGCATCCCTGGTCCCGAGCCTGCTTGCACGATCGAAATCTACCGACGGTCGCTCTTCGTCAATGATGTATGCGGAAGAAAAGAAACCCTAACTCGTAGGGAGATGACCGCTAGAGAGAAGACTCTCCAATTCCAACAATTGGAGAGCCTTTTTAAATTAAAAAACATTTTTATAGTTTTAAACATTCATTTGATTTTCTTCCGCATTTATTACCCAAATAAACATGAAAACATAAACTCTTACAAGCAATTCTATATTAAAAAAAAAAAAAAACTTTTACAAGCAAGTATTTCAATTTAAAAAAATCAAACAAGCAACTAATAGCAATAGTAGAATGGGTGATCGGATCAGTCCACTCCTAATTATGGTTCCACTTTTTATACAGAAGTAGGCTTGAAAATCTGTTCTGAACCAGCAGCAAGAACTGGATCCGTAAAGGCAGTTTCTAACTAGACCAAAACCTAATCAGCTATAAGTTGAAGTCAGACTGACTTACAGGGGGATCAGAACCAATTGTGGAGCCAGAAATCTGTGATTAGAGGGGCCGGGCCCCTTAAAATTTTACATTGCAGGGGCAAAAGTTTAAAATATCAAAATATTTTTTATAAATTAAAAGTATTTATACACTATATATACATTAGGATTTTTCCTTGGGAGGAGGCCTCCTCCAGTCCCTCCCTATCTCCAACCCTGCACGGAACACGGTGGTGTCTACACGTACTAAGGAACATGAGAAAAGTTCCTAAAGCATAGCAGACTAGAAAAAGTGTTTCAATAGTTCATTAATTAACGCCAGATAATTCCTGCAGTGGCTCGGACTTTTTCCACAAAATGACCAAAGTGAGAAAGGAGTCACAGTGGTTTGGTAGAAGCATCTTGGATGTATGCAGAGGCCTGCTCTTCTGAGAACTGATTCCCCTCCACCAATCCTTTGATCAGGACATCAGCATAGCCTTGAGAAGGTGCACAGAGAGGAAACTTGCCTGATCTGAAGCTATCAATAACTGGCAAGCTACAACTGCATGACAAGAAGTAGATAATAAAATAATACATGTACGAGATAGACAGGCTATGTTTGGGAAGAACATGATACTGGCGCTTACGTCATGGTTAGAATCGGGATTCCCTTCTCCTTCCCCAAGTAAAGAACATTGTGGTACCAGCCACTCTGCATAAAATTCAAGCAGCATCCATGATATTCAATCAAAATATATAATGTTACCTCCAGGACTATGGAAAATACAATGTCCGAACTGAAGTAAAACCCCGTGAACAAGAAAATGAATCCTAGGAAGATATATATATAATAACAAGAAAAATAAATAAAGTTGCCTGACCCATTCCAAGCATATTCCAGTGGCCTTAAACAGAAAAGTGCTCTTTTCCATAGAATGTTATTACAATTGACATACTGCATACTTGTTGTAGCAAACAACTCAATGACTATTCCCCGAACAAAAATAAATAAATCTTGGAAAACAATAAAATCAAACTTCAGTTAAGCAATTGAATGTGAAGTAATGCTAAAAAGTAAAAACAAATATAGAGTTCACAACAAGTACATATAGGTGGAAGTTGTCGAAAGTGGAAGTAGTAGTCATTGAAGACAGGAGAGAATTGACTACATATGTGGTCAAGAGGAGAAATAATATGAAAAGTGGAATTTTTTAATGCCTCGATCGAGGTAAAAATATGCATGAGAGCATTGGAGCACATGGTGTGTGGCACTAACAACAACGTAAATGGAAGAGGAAGATACATGTGGATAAATGTTTTTTATCATTTCCTTGGTTAAAACCTAAAATGATGGCTTGTAAGAAGAGGAGCAACATCTTGGGGATTAAATTTTCAAAAACAGAAAGAAAGTTTCCATATTACACCGTATCAAACAATTGAAGGACTAAAAGTGTGATTTTCCCTTCTGTATTTTCTGTAACCCAACTAAGTGTTATGTAAAATTCAATAAAATCTGCATGCATTAATTAAATAAATAGAAGTAAACAGGAGTACTTGGATGAAACCGAGCCCAACGAATCGATGTCTCTGTGCCCACAACACAAGTAGCAATCGCCTCCCAAGATAGAACGGTTTATACGTTCCCGAAGGACACCGGCAAACTCAAAGAGGCAACGTTAATGGAGTAGCGGGTGGGAGAAGGAAGGGAATCGGAATCATTATTTTTTGGGATCGATAGAAATGCAAGCAACCATGGGTCTATATAGAGCTATGGACAGGAGACTCTACGCCCAAAAGACACCTTTAGAATGAAAGGTTGTGACCCTGCTTCTAAAAACCAAACGGTTGTGTCTATTGCCAAGCATTATCCAAAATTGAGAGCAAACAAATAGAATTATCTTTAAGCCATGTACTCGGGCGGTCGGTTTAAGACCCTAACCCGAAACCGCACCAACCAGCAGGACGGCGGCACTGACCAGCCAGGAACATAACTACATCTAATACTTCAGCAAAAAGTAGTCTATTCAGTACTTATTATAGTACCAGATGGGGTAAAGAGTGTGTTGCTACAATTTAGGCTGAAAAAGTGTGTTGTGATACATTACATAAACCTAAAAGGTTTAATTATTCACCTTCTTTTTAACAGCCAGGTGCTTGTTAAATAAAAGGTTGTTAGAGCATGGAGACTCGACTCCAATCATTCTACTCCATAATTGGTACTACCTCCATCCCCTAAGTTTGGGACAAAGGGGTGTGGTGTGGTTTTTAAGAAAAAGTAGAAATGTGTGGTTGGTATTGAATTGATAAAGTGTAAATAAAGTAAGAATCAATTGTAACCACCCAAATATTACCAAATATGGTACGAGACAAACTTAAAGGGACGGACGAAAAAGGTAAAACGGGACAAAGTTAGGGGGAACGGAGGGAGTATTCAAGAAAAAACAATAGCACAAAAATGATGCATAAGACTAGAATGTGCACCTTCACAGCCCCCACCAAGATGGTTTTTTCATCTTCAATTGAGCATAATGCAGTCAAATCAAATAAAGGAGCTGTCATTTCATAGCTTGGAACATTTTCCTGAAGGAGAATATCATTGAACTGCTCAAGCCTACAACAATGATCGAAAAGCAGGAAAAATAGTTTCAAATCATAATGAAGGCAAACTTCATTTTTTCACAAATTAAAAGAAAATAAAAGATTGGATAGCATACGTAATTTTATAGAGGCACACAGGAGATTTGTTCTGACTGGTTTCAGGATGAAGAAAAGCAACACCCCCTTGGCCCCATGTCACCGTATGATCACGACCAAAGAACAGTCGATGGCAGACTGTCTTCCACATGGTTTCCTTTGGCATACTTTTATCCATAGAGCCAGCACACCGTCCTTTCATTCCGTCGAGCTGAACAAAATTTTTACAATTTTGAAAATCATACAAAATATTGAAATATTTAAATTAAAAAAAAAAGGAAATTCTGCAGCACACAACATGGTCTTATAAAAAGTAAAAATAATGCCAAAATTATCAGCATTTTTAAGGGAAAGTTCCCGAAATAGGACTAAAAAAGTTTCAAAATTCCAAAATAGGACTGTCATGTATTTATTTCCAAAATGGGACTAATTACTGCCAAATTTGGAAAATACTGTCATGTTTGAAGTCTGGTACTGCCAAAACATGACAGTAATTAGTCCTATTTTGGGAATAAAAACATGGAAGTCATATTTTGGAATTTGCAAACTTTTTTAGTCCTATTTCGGGTAATATCTCCTTTTTTAACTGTATATATCCATAAATATCAACTATGGTCATGTCTTATGGATTGTAACTCCTAAGTTGATAGACATTAACTTGCAGACACAATATAGAGATAAGACGTTAGATTTTACATTGTTATGTTTAAAAACACATCAGTGTACTATTGAAATGCACTACAAGTAAATTCCAGTAATTGTACTTTTGAATTGGTCATTCAACTAATGTAGCCATGTAGGGGTGGTTTGGTTTTTTCGGTTCGATTTTGAGTAAAAACGAAATATGGAAACAAAGTAAAAAGTTTGGTTCAGTTTTACATTTCAAAACTAGAAACAATGGTTTGATTGGTTCGGTTTGTTTCGATTCGAATTTTTTTTTTTTTTTACAAAAAATAGTCATTTGATTTAAAATGATACGATAGTTGGGGGTCAAACATATTAGATAAAAAATGCAAGCATACTAGCACAAATAAAATAAAAATGAGAATAAATAAATAAGTCTTGAATTATATGAGTATGCGGGAGAGAAAATACATTTTTCCAATTACTTGGAACAAAAGTGTATATATTCTTAATTTACATTTTGTGACTAATTTGAAAAAAGTTCATGAATATATATACGTTGTATAAGATATGGTTGAGATGAACATTTATTTGTTTTATCAATATAAAAAATTTAAGTTACATAATAAAAATAATAGTGACTAGTAATAACCAGCAAAAACATATCACTATCATACAACAAATTCCAAAAGACATACATAAAACACATAATATATCAATATAGCTACATTATTGTAGGGAATGAATATGTAAATGCATATATATATATATATATATATATATATATATATATATATATATATATAAAGACCGGTTCTGGTGAGAAAGCTTTTTCCCTAGAGAAATTATAATGGTGCACATTCTTATTCTTGTTCATGGAGTTGCACATTTCTATTTGAGATAATGCACATTTCGCAGCAGC